GGCGTGCTACACCCCGCCCCGACCCCGGCCCCTCCCCCTCGCCCAGCCTGGGGTCCTCCCGCCCCGCCACGGGGCCCCCCCGCCCCGAGAGCCCCTTTCCCTCCATCACTGACCCCTGCGCTCTCTAATCCGCCCGCGAACGGGGATCCCGTGTGTGCTGTCATTCGTGCTCCAGATGTCGCCGTGCTCAGTTCAGCGAGCCCCGAGCCAAGGATCGCATCCTCCTTCCGAAGCAGAATCATTATAGCGCCCTCCTCTGGCCGGGGATCCCGTGTGTGCTGTCATTCGTGCTCCAGATGTCGCCGTGCTCAGTTCAGCGAGCCCCGAGCCAAGGATCGCATCCTCCTTCCGAAGCAGAATCATTATAGCGCCCTCCTCTGGCCGGGGATCCCGTGTGTGCTGTCATTCGTGCTCCAGATGTCGCCGTGCTCAGTTCAGCGAGCCCCGAGCCAAGGATCGCATCCTCCTTCCGAAGCAGAATCATTATAGCGCCCTCCTCTGGCCGGGGATCCCGTGTGTGCTGTCATTCGTGCTCCAGATGTCGCCGTGCTCAGTTCAGCGAGCCCCGAGCCAAGGATCGCATCCTCCTTCCGAAGCAGAATCATTATAGCGCCCTCCTCTGGCCGGGGATCCCGTGTGTGCTGTCATTCGTGCTCCAGATGTCGCCGTGCTCAGTTCAGCGAGCCCCGAGCCAAGGATCGCATCCTCCTTCCGAAGCAGAATCATTATAGCGCCCTCCTCTGGCCGGGGATCCCGTGTGTGCTGTCATTCGTGCTCCAGATGTCGCCGTGCTCAGTTCAGCGAGCCCCGAGCCAAGGATCGCATCCTCCTTCCGAAGCAGAATCATTATAGCGCCCTCCTCTGGCCGGGGATCCCGTGTGTGCTGTCATTCGTGCTCCAGATGTCGCCGTGCTCAGTTCAGCGAGCCCCGAGCCAAGGATCGCATCCTCCTTCCGAAGCAGAATCATTATAGCGCCCTCCTCTGGCCGGGGATCCCGTGTGTGCTGTCATTCGTGCTCCAGATGTCGCCGTGCTCAGTTCAGCGAGCCCCGAGCCAAGGATCGCATCCTCCTTCCGAAGCAGAATCATTATAGCGCCCTCCTCTGGCCGGGGATCCCGTGTGTGCTGTCATTCGTGCTCCAGATGTCGCCGTGCTCAGTTCAGCGAGCCCCGAGCCAAGGATCGCATCCTCCTTCCGAAGCAGAATCATTATAGCGCCCTCCTCTGGCCGGGGATCCCGTGTGTGCTGTCATTCGTGCTCCAGATGTCGCCGTGCTCAGTTCAGCGAGCCCCGAGCCAAGGATCGCATCCTCCTTCCGAAGCAGAATCATTATAGCGCCCTCCTCTGGCCGGGGATCCCGTGTGTGCTGTCATTCGTGCTCCAGATGTCGCCGTGCTCAGTTCAGCGAGCCCCGAGCCAAGGATCGCATCCTCCTTCCGAAGCAGAATCATTATAGCGCCCTCCTCTGGCCGGGGATCCCGTGTGTGCTGTCATTCGTGCTCCAGATGTCGCCGTGCTCAGTTCAGCGAGCCCCGAGCCAAGGATCGCATCCTCCTTCCGAAGCAGAATCATTATAGCGCCCTCCTCTGGCCGGGGATCCCGTGTGTGCTGTCATTCGTGCTCCAGATGTCGCCGTGCTCAGTTCAGCGAGCCCCGAGCCAAGGATCGCATCCTCCTTCCGAAGCAGAATCATTATAGCGCCCTCCTCTGGCCGGGGATCCCGTGTGTGCTGTCATTCGTGCTCCAGATGTCGCCGTGCTCAGTTCAGCGAGCCCCGAGCCAAGGATCGCATCCTCCTTCCGAAGCAGAATCATTATAGCGCCCTCCTCTGGCCGGGGATCCCGTGTGTGCTGTCATTCGTGCTCCAGATGTCGCCGTGCTCAGTTCAGCGAGCCCCGAGCCAAGGATCGCATCCTCCTTCCGAAGCAGAATCATTATAGCGCCCTCCTCTGGCCGGGGATCCCGTGTGTGCTGTCATTCGTGCTCCAGATGTCGCCGTGCTCAGTTCAGCGAGCCCCGAGCCAAGGATCGCATCCTCCTTCCGAAGCAGAATCATTATAGCGCCCTCCTCTGGCCGGGGATCCCGTGTGTGCTGTCATTCGTGCTCCAGATGTCGCCGTGCTCAGTTCAGCGAGCCCCGAGCCAAGGATCGGATCCTCCTTCCAAAGCAGAATCATTATAGCGCCCTCCGCTGGCTGGGGATCCACTCCCCAATCTCAGTCTCCTATGTATCACATCTCTCCAGTGATCTGCCTCACTCTAAACCAGGGACTCTCCCTCCCCTCCCCGTTGTGTTTTCCCTTCCCCAGATGTAACCCATCAGCACCAGGGCCGGCTTGAGCCATTCCTACATCCCGGGCAGCGGGCGTGTGACACGTGCGCGGCTCTGCCCCTGGGCGCACAGTGCATGCGCAGCCCCGGCGCGCTGCGCACCTTACAGCTACCATCGGGCGCGCGGCGCCTGGTGGCAGCTGTAAGGGGTGCCACACAGGCCCCGGGCGTGCAGCGCCTGATGGCAGCTGTAAGGGGTGCTGCGTGGGCCCTGGCCCTGGGCGCGCGGTGCCTGATGGCAGGTCTAAGGGGCACTGTGCAGCCGGGGGCGCAGCGCCCCTTACAGCTGCCATCGGATGCCCCCCATAGGTTGGCGCCCAGGGCAGCTGCTTGGCTAGTGCCCCCTCCCCCCTTTATCCGGCCCTGATCAGCACATCTTCCCCTGTTCCTCCTGCCAGGGACATAATTCTTAATGCTCCCCCCACCACTACTTTCCCTGTGGATTCCAGAGTGCTCTTGCTAGACACCCCATCTCTTCTCCACTTCTCAAAATGCACACGGAGATCCTCCAGCCAAATTTCTTCCCCATTTCTATGTACCAGACACAACACCTGTCATCTACATGCTCTGATATCTTTAAGATACTGACCTCTTTCTCCATTAGACTCTAACTAAAGGTCTCCCTTCCCTGTCATGCTGGGTGGCTGCGATGCCTTCTTTCCTTGTATGTCCCTGAGATGCTCCCACTTAAATGCACACGGAGATCCTCCAGCCAAATTTCTTCCCCATTTCTATGTACCAGACACAACACCTGTCATCTACATGCTCTGATATCTTTAAGATACTGACCTCTTTCTCCATTAGACTCTAACTAAAGGTCTCCCTTCCCTGTCATGCTGGGTGGCTGCGATGCCTTCTTTCCTTGTATGTCCCTGAGATGCTCCCACTT